GGCTTTTAGGATGTTATAATAAGTATGTTGTATTAGTTACTTTTTGTTGCTGTGCTAAAACACCAGGACCAAAAGCAACTTATGGGAGGAAGGGTTTATTTTGGTTTATGGTTCCAGAGGGAGAGCCCATAATGGTGAGGGAGGCGTGGCAGTAGGAAGCTGGGGAGAAAGCTGAGAGATCTCAGTTGCACACAGGAAGCCAAGAGAGTAAACTGGAAGTAGAGTAAGGCTATAAACTTTCAAAGCCCACCCTAGTGACATAATTCCTTCAGCAAGGCTGAACCACCTAAAGGTTCTATAACCTTCCCAAAGAGCATCACCAACTGGGGACCACGTGTTCAAAGATGAGAGCCCCTGGGGGCCATTTCTCACTCAAGCACCACAGAGGTAGAGCCTTGTTAGAAGAAGCAGCTCACTGGGGCTGTGACTTTGAACAATCTAGCACGTCCCTGGACCTTTTCTCTCATTCCCTGTTGCCAACTGCCATGAGATGAGCTGTACTGGCCCCCCACAAGCTCCTCACCATGATGTCCAACCTCATCTCAAGCCCAAAGTGATGGGGTCAAGCCACCATGGACAGAAACCTCTGAAACCATGAGCCAAAAATCAATCTTTCCTCCTTTATTTTATTCTTGTATTTTTTTAACAAAAAAATGAAAAGCTGACTAATGGATCACTAATGAACATGCTATTTTTTGAGCAGGTAGTATACACACAGGGTTAAAATTTAACTTAGCAATCTGCCTTGGAGACTGTCCTAGTTTGTTTCTCCATTGCTGTGACAAAACACTCTGAACAATACCAACTTGGGGAGGAAAGGGTTTATTCAGCTTACATATCCCAGGTCACAGTTCATCTGGGAGCCCAAGGTAGGAACTCAGGGCAGGAACCTGGAGGCAGGAGCTGGAGCACAGGCCATAGAGGAACGCTGCTTACTGGCTTGCTCCCCTGGCCCCTGCTCAGTCTGCTTTCTTATGCAACACAGGCCCAACTGCCCAGGGATAACACCACCCACAGTGGGCTGGGCCCTCCCACATCACTCAACAATCAAGAAGGTTCCCCATGGACATGGCCACAGGCCAGTCCAATGAAGGAAGTTCCTCAATTGAGGCTCCCTCAACCCAGGTGTGTCAAGTTGACACTAAAGCTATCCAGAACAGAGACCTTTATATATCATTATGCACAAAGCTGCCTTATGCTTTGTCACAGCTTTGTAGTGTTACATTATGCGCCTATGACAGCAACGTCATTAAAATAAAAGTCACATAAAACTCACTTGTGGTTAATCTTGATTGCTAACTTGCTGGGATTTAGAATCAAATGGAAATAAATCTCTGGGTACATCTGTGAGGGATTATTTAGATCAGGTTAATTGAAATCTGAAAACCCACCCTAAATGTGGGTGGCACCATTCCATGGGTTGGGGTCCTGGACTGAATAAAAAGCAGAAAGCAAGCCCAACCCCAGCATACATCTCTCTCTGCCTCCTGACTGCAGATGCAATGTGATCAGCTGCCTCACGCTCCTACCACTGTGCCTTTTCCACCATGATGGTCTGCACCCTCAAACTGTGAGCCAAAATAAATAACTCTTCCTTAAGTTGCTTTTGTCAGAGCAAGGAAACAGCTAGTGTATCTTCCAGGAAAAGTGAATGTTCAACAACTTTTAGTTGTGTAACCAGTGTAATTTTAGAAGTTTCACTTCCCCACAAAGAAATCCCGTGTTCATGCTGAAGATACGAGATGGCTCAGTGGTTAAGAGCACCAGCTGCTCTTACAGAGGATTCAGGTTCAGTTCCCAGCACCAACATGGTGGCTAATAACCATCTGAAACTCCAGTTCCAGGGGATCCAACACCTTCTTTTGGCCTCTGTGGGCACTGCATGAACATAGCACACTTAAATACATGCAGGCAAAAATACTCATACACATAAAATAAAGATAAATAAAAAAATTTTTTTGAAAGAAATACTGTGTCACTAGTAATAACCCCCCCACACACAACTAAAATCCCCTGTTCCAGACAACCACTAATATGTTTTCTACAAGTTTCACCTGTCCTTGACATTGTGTATAAATGGAATCTTCCAGCATATGGTCCTTTGTGATTGACTTTATTTATTAAGCTTACTGTTTCCCGGCTTTACCCTTGCTATAGCTTGTATTCCATTCCTTTTTACTGCTGAATGATCTTCCACGGTGTGACAGGCCACACTTGGTGTCTCCACTCATTATCCGATGGATATTCATGCTCTTTCCACTTTTAGCTACCGTGAATAACACTACTCTGAAAGTTTGTGTTAAAGTTTCTGTTGCAGACTTAGGTTTTCACATCCCCTTGATACAGACCAAGGAATGAAATTGCTGGGTCATTTATTTAGCCAAAACCCCACTGATGAAAAGGTAAGCCAATTACATATTAGAAACCCACAGTCTTGGACATGTGGCAGCACATGTTCTGGAGAGAAGATTTGGGGAGATTGGGCAAGGAACCACAGCTACATCATAGACCCTGCCCACCTTCTAGCTTGGCCCCTCTTCCCTGGTTATGGAGAACTTTTCTTTCAGATTTCCATTCTAAAACGTTCCAGTCAAGTCTACCTCAATTCTAATGTAGTCTGTCACTCTGGGGTCTGGAAGAGAAGAGTCACACATCACACTATAGCCCATGAGCCCATTGCCCACTGACCCCTCCTGGGAGGCCCCCCCCCAACACACATGGTGTCCAGATCGCCCCTGCTGCATGCTCTTGTCCAGAAGACTGTCCCAGAGGAAGCTGGTGACTCTTAATTGTGGAGTTTCCTGTCTGGGTGATAATGGGCCTCTGCCACACTTGGGCACTGGCCACACCTGCAACAGGTGCAGAGCAGGGTGATACTGGAGCCCGGAGTTGGCCAGCTGGTCTCAGAGAAAACTTCCTGGCACCACAGGATTCCACAGACCCTGGGGGAAGGTAGAGGCTTCCTGCGACCCACATATTTTTAAACACTCTTGATTTAGACCATTTGAATGAGCCAAGGGCAGAAAGTACTGTCTCTTCATAGTTACAGAAGACTGATGGATTTGCTGATCAGCTGAATGAGAGAAAATTCTCCCACTTGCTGTGGACTGTGCTTCTGCTTGGGACTGCCTTAAAGTGTTTGGCATGTCATATCACTGCCTGTTGAGGAAGCTCAGTGCAGCCTGGACATGCTGGAACTGTGATCATCTGCAAGGAGACCTTGTTGCCTCCATTTGAACTTGCTTCCGGAAAGTCAAGGACAAGACCTGTTCATGGAAGGTGAGTAGTTTTCAAGAGAGGGCAACCCTGGCAGTCCTTACTTCTTTCACATTATTAAATAACTAGTATGAATTGGCACATCTCTTTACAGGATCTATTTACCCTTTAAAATGCAACCTAGTGTACTCTCCTTAAAAACACAGGCAAAGTACACTATATTGTAATCATTAATTAGTGAGTTTCTTTCACATCCCAAATGGGCTGGTTTTAAAGCAATCAAATGTTTGTAGTTCTTAGTTGGGCAGATTTTATTCTGTACTTCAATATATAAAAGCATTCCACTACAATTTCTAGAAAGTTCTATGAGTTTATACATCATTCTACATTTAAATAAATTCTCTTGCGTTGATTAAAATTTACTGTTCTCTCATTGGGTTGATTCGCTATTTTAAAAATAATAGTTATGAGATTTTTCCCCCTCCTTCTTTCCTTCAGGTCTTAAAACCATTCTACCAACAGTGAGAAAAATGTTAATGTTCTGTGATTAAATCTGTTCATTTCTCCCAAGCTTTCACCCCTGCAATTTAGAGAGTTATATTTAAATAGTTTATCTAAAATGAATAAGATTATTCACTCATTCTGGCAAGTAACTGAATTTTTAAAATCTGACCTCTTTTGAGTCTTCCATAAGGGGAAAAAAGAGAGATCAATAAACAACTGTCACCTGGGAGGTTAAAGGGTGTGTGTGGTCTACCCTGTAGGCTGAGAATTGGTCTTCATCTATCTGAACACTCCTGTGGTCATATAGGGCAAGACAAGGGGCTCTGAGTGTCTGTGGACGATTTCCTAGCTTTCAAAGTTTCACTTTCTTCACTTACCTCCCCAGTAGAGAGCACAGTTTTGAACCAAACAGCAGTTGAGATCTTAATCTTCTGATCTGACAAGGGCACACAATGTCTTTACCCAGGGCACCTCACCAAGGAGACCAGACAAGTGGCAACCTGAACTCTTTCCTTTTGAAAAGTAATTTCTTTTTTAAAAATAAGTACCCACTGTACAACACAAAGTTCTCAAAAAGGTGTATTGTAGAAAGCAGACCTTCTCCCAGTTCCCTTCCCTAGAGGCAACTAATGGTACCCATTTCTTGACTATTCTTCCACAGATATTCTATGCCACTATGGCTTAGAGAAATGCCACCCAGTGGCCCAGGTGTTAAAGAGCTTGATCACCAGTGCTGTTAGGAGCTGACGGAACCCTTAGGAAATGGAACCCAGTAAAGGACATTTGGCCATTGGAGGTGTGACTTTGAAGGAGATATTGAGAACCCAGCACCTCTCTGCTTCCTGGCTACCATAAGGCAAGTGACTTCTCTCACACACTCCCTCCATGGGATGCTGCCCTGCCACAGGCCCAAAAGCAATGGGACCAAGTGACCATTTGAGAGGTTTGAAACCAAGTGACCGTTTGAGAGGTATGAAACCTCTGAAACTGTGAGCCAAAGTGGCATTTCCTATTTACAAACTGATTTATCTCCAGTATTTGTTATAGGGAAGGAAAGCTGATTAAACATATACATTCATTAACTATAGGCAAATAAAACGCACCCACAGTTTTTATACTATATGACTCAGTTTATTTTTCACTTATTAATATTTAGTATCTAACATCCTTTTTTATGCTGGACATGGTGGTACGTGTTTTTAATTCCAACACTCAGGAAGCAGAGGCAGTGGATCTCTGTGAGTTCAAAGCCAACCTGTTCTACATAGCAAGTTCTAGGTCAACCAGGGCTATATAGTGAGACCCTGTCTCAAAAAAACATAAATAAGTAAATAAATAAATAACCTTGTTATGGCTACATTGCATGGAGATTCCAAATGTATTTGACCATTTTCTGACTGACACTATTCATGTTGTTCCCTAGCACAAGTTTGGTATGCAGCAGTCCATCACTAATCCTTGGGGTATTGGTTCCATAGTCCCCCAGATAATACAATCTGTTGATGCTCAAATCATTTATGTAAAATAATGTAATGTTTGCATATAATGTGTGCCTAGTCTCCTGTGTATTTAAAACCATATCTTTGTTGTTTCTGATACCTGATATAATGTACAGAGTTATTTCATTGTATTGTTCAGGGAATAAGAAACAGAACATGTACATGTTTAGTACAGACACAATGTTTTCTTTCCAAATATTTCCTATTTTTGGCTAGTTGAATTTATGGATGTGGGACTAACAAATACAGAGACCTGACTCTATATTTCATATCTGTTCTAGAGCACCTTAGGATAACTTTCTAGAGGCAGAGTGGCAGGTCAAAGGTAGGTAATCCACCTCTGTTACTAAGATTTATGGTTGAATGTATTTACATTTGACCAGTGATCCTACGACCTCGGATTCATAGAGTCACACAATGAGTTCTAAAACATCACAAGTTTGCCACCAATAGATGAGAAAATGTTATCTCAGTTTTAATTTGCATTTTCCTTATATTGTGATTTTTCTTTTCGTGGTTCTGTATATGGGACCACACTCTCATCAGCTTGGCCAGGTGGTCCTTAGCCCAAGACACTGTGTCTCATCTGGGTCTCTCTGTTTCTCAGTGATCAAGTGGATACCCCAGGGAGCCTTCAACCAGACCCAGTCCAACACCCTCCTGAGTGATCCCATGGAGGGGAAGAACAGTACCGACTCTACCAGGGCCTTGAGGCTGCTGGATGGGACCAGCGCTGCCTGGTACATTCTTACCATCCTTGGCATCTATGGGGTCATCTTCCTCTTCCACTTGGCCAACAACATCCTTAGGAAAAATGAGAAGTCCTTGGAAGACATTTATTATTCAAACTTAAGTTCTGAACTCAAAAGTAAAGGACTCCAGATCAAGGTGTCCAACTGCTCGGCACTGATCGTCAGTAACACAGCTGTCCTTCAACCTGGTCAGGACAGCCTGGAACCAAAATGTGAAGACAGCAGATTACACACTGGAACCCAGGGGGTTCCTTAAAAGTCAAGGCCAGTGGACAACCATTGGGATCCCCCTTCCCCAATTATTTGCAGGTAGAGCAGTTTGGGTCTTACTTGGAATCTTGAGAGTGGAACTAGGCCCTGGATCAGGACTGGGTGACAATCACTGGCCAAGGACATGTCTGGCTGATGGGGTGTGACCAGTCACTCGCAGCCTTTGTCTTTGGATTGTCTGGTGTTTTGAGATGAGACAAGGGCAGCAGAAGACAGGCTTTCCATTCACTGGTGAAGCTTGTGTTCCAGGGAAGTGAGATGGGGGTACCAGTGTTCTGAGGAATCCAGACTTCCAAAGGTAGACAATGAGGCGGCTCCCTGTCATGAAAAGACAAGATTTGGATGGATTTGGTATCAGATGCTCTGAATTAAAATTCAGCTTCTAGGGTGTCACATACAATTTTGAGTAGCTAGCTGGTCACTTGGAACTTGTGGGAGTTGGGATACATTGTCCCTAAAAGAATATTTCGTTTTCAAAGCTGACTCCATTGAATTTGGGTGCAAAGTTGTTGATCACAGGGGCCAAGAATTCTTCATTTTCTCTGAAAGAGTGCAGTACACTGAAAAAAAAAAACTATTTTGGATTCAGAAGTTCCAGATTGGTCTGGACTTGTTTAGCACTGTCTTGATGTCTGTGAGTATACTACTTCAGTTCTCTGAAACTCAGTTTACAGTTAAAATAGGAAGAAGGATGCCAGACATACCAGCCCTACCCAGTAGATGAGAGTGAATGGGATCATGTGTATGAATGCATTTTGAAATACAAAATACACATGTAAATATAAGTATGTTATAGTGGTGGCAATGATAGTAGTAATGATGGTGGCAATGGTGGTGACTGGATGGTAATAGTTGATGTTCTGGTTGGTGATGTTGGTGATGGTGTTGATGGCATTAGTACTTGACGTTGGTAGTTATTATATTGATGGTGATGGCGATGGTGGTAGTGATTATGACAGCACTAGCTGATGCTTGTGGTTGGTGGTGGTAGAGAAGGTATTGATGGTGCTGATGAAGTTTGATGTTGACAGTTTTAGTACTTGGTGTGTTACTAAATTTTACTTCTCAGAGATGTGTGTGACTCCTGGGCCTCTCCTTCCACTGTCCTTTCAACAAACTGAGGTAATATTTCTCCAAACTACAGTTTGGGGAACCAAAGAATTTATTGGGCTTCCATGTAGATCAATGGATGAGGGGGTTACTTACAGAAGTGTGGGCACACATGGGCTTCCTTCCTATATTGCAGCAGGGACCCCTATGACCTCTTGGCAGTGGGCCAAGATGGCGAAGGCCACCCTCTCTCTCTGGCTTCCTCTGTCCCTGTCCTCAGTCCTTCCCCCATGTACCATTCAGGCCAGCTGGTTAGATGGAAGGCATGACTGACTCTCTCTGCCCCTCCCCTCCTACAAAGCATCTATATTAGTTTGTGGTGATTGAAGCAGGCAGGTAAATCCCAGCTGGAGAAGAAGACATCTGTCCATGCTTGTCAGTCTACCTTGCTAGGCGGAGGACAAGTCCATACAACATGATGGTTGTCATATTGGTGGTGATGGTAGTGGTTGTGTCCCTATGCTGGACAGCTTTAGTTGTCACATGACACACCTGGATAAAGGGAAGCTCAACTGAGGAATTTCCTCCATTGAACTGTCCTGTGGCCATGTCTATGGGGCATTTTCTTGATTGTTGAGTGAAGTGGGAGGGCCCAGCCCCCTGTGGGCAGTGCCACCCCCAGGCAGGTGGTCCTGTGTTGTATAAGAAAGCAGGCTGAGCAGGGGCCAGGGGAGCAAGCCCCCTAGAAGATGTAAGATCAAATAAACCCTTTCCTCTCCGACTTGTTTTTGGTCGGTGTTTTATCATAGCAATAGCAAGTAACTAGGACAGATGGCCATATCTAATTCTGGTGGTTAGTGATGACAGCAATAGTGTTGGTGCTGATGAAGTTTGGTGTTGAGGGTTTTCGTAGTTGTTGGTGGTGATGGTGCTCTTGTGGGACAGAAAATGACTAACCCCCTCACAGTTGCTCTCTAAGCTATGCCTGCACTGTCTTCCTCCACAGAAGAGACCATATGGAGATCAGTTGGTGAACCATATGGTAAAGTTCAGGTTTCCGTAGAGTCAGAACAGACACGTGACAGAAGATTAGGCCCTAAAGAGAGAGGCATCAAGATTAACATAGGAAAGAAGCCAGTTGGCAGAAAGATGGGCAGCCCCTCCTCACCAGGGCTGCACGTAAGGGATAAAGCATGCATAAGAAAACCCAAGATCTCCAAATGCAGGAGGAGATAGGTACTATGTAGATGACCCACCAAGTCTCCCCAGTCTCATGACTGACTGCCATTAGTGTTTCTAACTTTCCACAGGTTTCTGTCCTGCTTCCATATTCAGTCATGTTCTCTTTCCTAATAAACTATATTTCTACCACTATCTACATGTCCCTGGTCCAGTTGTTTGTTCTGGGATACCAGAACCTGGAAATCTCCGTGCATGCCTGCCGAACTCTTGATCCAGTCTGTAACAGACACCTTTGAATTTCATTACCTTAAACATCATGCAGTTTGGTCAAATGTTTCACAAATATCTATTACTTATGCCTGTGTTCATGAAATGAAATCTTGCTTAAATGACTAATGGGAAACTGGGGTGAAATGAATTTCCATTGGGGCTTTCAGCAGCTGGAGTTTGGGAGATGCAATCTGCGCTAGAAAGGATGATTCACCTCTGCCCCAATCTTTAAACTGTGGTCTTCAGCCAGCTCTATGATCTCATGAAAGCCAGAATGAAATCTGAAGCTTTTATTTTGGGGAGATGAAATATACTTTTGAGACTGGAGTTAGTTCCTCATAGGCGACAGTAAAGTAGCCTTGGAAAATGTCTTTGGATCTTATACAACTGTATTGGGTGTTAGCAGGGAAAGTGGCTGTTGCTCCTTAGAAAATAATGTTAGAGCTGGTTTGTGACCACAGGTCCCCCATCAACCTCTGTTGGGGTTTCCATGGCAGCACTATCAACAGAGTCCACAGCTGAAGATTAAGTGGGATGGATGCTCTTTGAAGCATACTGAGTCAATTTTTCCCTCCAAATACAGAAACACAAGTATAAAAATCTTGGTGAAAGAAATGATTCCAATCACCCATCAGATGTTTACTATTTTCAAGTTCCCCTAGAAGACCTTCTTCCTTCCAGAAACTACGTAGGTAAAGGTATCATTTAGAATATTTAAGATGAGATGCTAGATATTGAGATGGCTCAGCAGCTAAGAGCACTGGCTGTTCTCACAGAAGACCTGTACCTACATGGCACCTAACAACTATCTGTAACTCCAATTCCAGGGGATCTGACATCCTCTTCTGACCTCCTCAGGCACTGCACAACATGTGTGCACTTACACCCATGCAGGCAAAACACTCATACTCATAAAAATAAAAATAGCCAGTCATGGTAGCACAGGCAGAAGCAGGTGGTTCTCTGTGAGATCGAGGCCAGACTGGTCTACATAGCAAGTTCCAGGTCAGTTGGGGCTACAGAGAGATCCTGTCTCAAAAACAAAAAGAAACAAAAAACACCCATGTGGGAGACAGGCTTGAGCCTAGGGTGACACTGCAACTGTCAGGGTCATGTAGTTTCCAGAAATCCAGGCTCTGTAATCTGAAATCCAATATGCTAATGAGGCATCCTACCCGCTATTCTGTGATAGGACATTAAGTCTGATATGCTAATAGGATGCTAAGTCTGTTTTGCTAATAAGGTATCCTACTTGCTGTACTGTGATAGGACACTAAACTTGTTATGCTAATGAGATAGCCTACTTGTTGTGTTGTGATTGGACCAATACCCCTATATAAGCTTGTGCCTTCCTGCAATAAAGCAGACCTGTGTCACTGAGCCTGGTCTCCTGTGTCTGAATGTGGCTTCGCTGACACAGTCTCCTCACCAGCCCTGGGGTCTAGGAGGAGCAGAAGCAGGGATAACAGGAGGTAGCACAGGGCAAGCAGAAGAGCTGCCTCAGCACCAGGTGACCAGAAGAGTGGCCTCAGCCCAGGGCGGGCAGAAGAGCGGCCTCAGCCCTGGGCGAGCGGAGAAACAGCCTCGACACCTGTGAGAACGAAGGAGCAGCACCCACAAGAATGGAGGAGCAGCCGCTGCTGGTGGTGACCACACACCCACTTCTTACTGGCGGAGATTAGTAGATGTGGCTCCTAATTCCAAGGGACAGGGAAGTGCCATCCTGCTCTGTATCCAGGAGACCCAGAGTCCCAAATGAGGAACAGCCCTACCATAAGTTTGAACAGATCAGAGGCTCTCAAACCACATTCCACAGAGGTTTCTTAGTGTTGTGTAGATGCCAAAGGGAAATCTAGTCACATTCCTTTTTTATTTACATCCAACCTCTCTGTATTTAAAAGCCAATATATCCATCTGTGTGAGGAAACACTGTTATGTTTCTCTCAGAACTAATCAAGATGGTTGGAACCACAGCATTCTGCTCCCATAGGTCCTTATCACACACACACAGACACACACACTTAGCATCACTTGGATGCTAGTGAGATCTCAAGCTTAGGTCAGGCATCACTGAGAACCAAGACACCAGAGATCTCAGAAAACCCCAGGTTGGGGCTGCTGCTCTTTTGGAACCTGAAGGAGCGCTGGGTTCCTGGCTCCTCCTCTCATGATGAGATTCAATCCCAGAGAAATCTGACATGGGAGTTTGTATTGTTTTGTTTTTATGTGAATGAATGCTATGCACCCGTGTGATGCAATGCTTGTGGAGACCAGAAGAGGGCATTGGATACCCTGGAACTGAAGTTCCAGTGGTTGTGAGCCGCCATGTAATTACTGGGAACTAAACCCATGTCCTCGGCAAGAGCAGCCATTACTCTTAGCCATTGAGCCATCTCTCCAGCTCCCTGATATGGGAGTTTTTGCCTCTACCAAAAGGGAGCTGAGGAGGTTGAAGAGAATTTGATCATCACCCAGGCTAATGCTTCTAGCTCTTTCCCAGTGGCAGGCAGCTGAGAATACTGATATTGTGAGAAGTGGGCTGTGGGAAGTGGGCTGTGGGACGTGGGCTGTGGGAAGGCAGGTCTGAGAAAGGTTTCCTAGCATTGCAGCTCAGCTTATAGAAAACAGGAAGAGCATCAGAGCTGGGTGCACA